AGCAAAATGGGTACCAATACATTGTGGTATCAGATAAGTCCAGATATTTGATTTTGGTCTGTTGCTCTCTTCTGATTTCTCTCCTAAGGGCGCAGTGAACTGCTTTGATTTAACAGGAGATGGGAAACAGTTCATCTTGACAATTGGCCTTGACATTCCTACTGAGCAGAGTCCATTTTTTTTGTTGTGGGTCTTGTTTTTTGTGTTTGTTTGGATTATTTTTGTTTGGGTTCTTTTTTTTTAATATGATTCCTATAAGAGAGAGATGTTCCAGTGATGAGTAGGGGCTTAGCATGGGTTGATTTGTGCTATTCATCAAGGGCAGGTAGAGCCAAATTTGTCTTGTGTGCAACAAACAACTGCTGTCAGACTTCAGATAAAATGTCTAAATTGAAGTTGTTTGCCGGGAATAATTTTGAGAGGGAAAGTGATTTTCTTTCCTTGAACATACTTTGTGTCCTTGTGCTTCCAAAGGCTAACAGGCAAACTAGGTTTTGTCGAGATGATGTCTGCATTGTGAAGTTTGTTCATCCTGGGCTGAGATCCTGATGCTGTTTCAAAGAGGCAACTCTGTTTCGAACTATGAAACACGAAGAGAAGAGTATGAAAGCACCCATCTGTGTGGCCACAGGTTAAGAAAATTTGTGCCTTTTACATCAGTGGCATAATTTTACCCTTCTGTTAGTAGAATATATGATATATCAGATTAACATTAATCCCTATAGCCAAGTTTACAATGGTAATAAACCCCTTTAAACTAGACTTGGTGTAGTTTGTCACATTTAACAACGCCTATAAACTGACTCTTGCCTCACGAGGTGTTTATTGTATATGCTAAGTCAGGACAGGCTATTATGAAAAATAAAATATGCAGCTATATAATTAATGATTTTAATAAAGTGAGTTTGCAGAAAAAGAACTAAAACTGCAACTGGAAAAGTGTTTCTATTGACTTTCAAGTGTATAATTTGTTCATTTCTTTTCAAGTCGTTCAAATTTTCTAATACGGAGATGGGAGTTAAAAAAAAAACCAAACTACAAACCCCTGTTTGTCATACCTGTCAACTGTTATGCATTGATACTGTAGTGAGAAAGGAGACATGAATTTTATTGAGCTAATAGTAAAATTATTTAACAATATGAAAAGAAAGGACCGTTGGAATCATGGCAATTTTTGTTTCCTAAGAATGCTGAGGTGGTCGTATCTTCTCTGTATTTTAATTCCCTCTCTCCCCATTGTCTGGGGTGATCTGCTCGGTCTGTCATGGCAGGGATTGCTGCTTTTTTAATAACATGGGTTCATCTCTTTGGATATTTTGTAATTATTTTGGCCAGCTACTTGCCTCTGATTCAGAAGAATAAATGACAGAAGTGAAGGGATTATTTTGCAAATTTATGAATAGGAAGGAATATATACCCCTCTAGCCAGTGAGCAAGGGAGCTTTTTCCATGTGAGTTCCAAAGGCACACGGGCAAAGCAACTGTGGTACTACAACTTCTTCTACGGGCTTTTATATCAGTGGCAGGTATAAACATAGGGTTACTGTCTATTCAGTTCAGCTTCTGTTAAGCTTAGTCTCACATATTGAAAATAATATCAACCCAAACAAATTACGAGAAAGTTATGTCAGTATATGAGGTAAGGGGGAAAAAAATGCCTAGGGACTGAGTGACAAATCTATTTAGGAATGAGGCAGAAAGCTTTTTATTTTTGATATGCAGGCTCTGTGAAGAACGTGTTAACAAATCTGACAAGTTTCCATTGAGAATTCTCACTTTTTTGAAGGACACAGAATAGACACTTCACTTGTGAGTGGTACTATTCCTTGAACATACCAGGTCAGTAAGAATCAGCCGCATGGGAAGAAACAACAAGATTCTTGTGCGTATGACAGCCCCTGGCAGCAGTTTTCTGCACCTGAATTTAGGAATGCACTGAAACTACTGGTGCAAATGGGCTAAAATATTTTGTAAATTAAGGGTTAGATACTGCAGTAACTTTGCTTAACGATATGATTACATACAAACACTCCAGCTAACAGTTGTGCTACAAGCTAAGATGCTCAAATGCATTAAAATAATTATTTAATTTGAATATAATGGTATCCTTTCTCTAAGTCTAAAAGACCATGTCTAATTAAAATCATTATTCTGTATAACTTTAAAAAGGCTAAGACACATTTACAGATACTTAATTCAGTCTTTAAAACTTTATTGATTTTTAAACTTGAAATGTCCGATACCTTTTTCATTAAAGGACTTCATAACAAGTGAAATATTTGAAATAAATACTGTGTACAATTTTAAACTTCTTTGCTGTTTTTTGAAGGATGCTTAATAGGAAAATAAGAAGCATCATCTTGAATCCTTGCCTAAGACTTAGAAGTCAGAACTTCTGTCCTGTCTCAATAAGTATTTGTAACCTAAAAATTTTATTGATTAATTCAACTGATTTTGAATAGCCCCTTTCTAGCAAACTTGGAGAATATGTACCTGATCAAACTCTTCATTTTGCAACATTTATTTCAGAATCCCAGTCAAACCAGGCTCTGTAATACTTCACATGGTTTTACTGGTATACTTACCGTTCTGCTATAGAAAATTGCCACTGTTAATCAGGATGCAAAGCTATTTTTGACAGTGGCATATGATTTGCGCAGTAGCATAAAATCACTCCAATTGTAAGCAAGAACTTGTCATCTGTCTCTGACAAGCTCCTACTTATTATGCTCTTGATAATTGTAACCTTTAACACTTGCTCGCGTTTCTGAAAACGTTATTATATGTAGATTAAATTATGACTGTTTTGCTCGCTTCCTGGTATCTCTGGGGTTTTGTTTTGTTGCTGGTAGACTGGATAATGAGACAGGATTGCTAAATCCTGATAAAGCCAGGAATGGAACGGAGTCCATCTCCAAACTTAAAATATTCTCATCAGATTTTGGGTTTGAAGTAATTCGTTCATCTGTGTTCTTTTGCCAGGCTTCTTTGCACAAAATGTGGAAACTGTGACAACTGTCTCATAGGACGTGTGTCCTGTGGAGGTAGTAGGCATTCAGTTCGTCACATTCTGGAGTACTGCAGGGTCTTCTCAAAATGGCACGTGTAGAAGTTACTTGTGAACTATTAACATTAATAGAAGTATTTCTTATATTAGCTTAAGCTTGGCAAAAGGAGGATAAATGAGTAAAAATGAAGGATTACAACTCATTCTTCCTTTGGTTCTGAAGTGTAGGTAGAGTCTGTTACCTAACCAACCATGGCCAGGCTGTAGGGATAGTGGAGGGTAATGAAGCCAGTTAATCAAAACAAAGTGATGACTTGATTTCCTGGGTTAATTAAGTGCAATTCCTTAATGAAGCAGTGCCTTTGGCACATCTGTTTCACCATCACCCGAAGAGGTGATGCTGATCTTTTATGTGAAACCAATCGCATCTGCTGTGTGATCACAGTGCAACACAGCTCTTCAGAGGTACCCCTGGTGAGCAATAGATGTGCCAGGTGTGCTTAATTTCTTCAGTTTCTATTTGGCTTATCTGTGTTCATCTCGTGTCTGCTACCCACTTCCCTTTGTGCAGAGCCAGTTGTCTTGTTCTGTGTTTCTGTGGTGGTTGGTACAATGAGGTGTTGCTCGGTGATGAGCTGCCGTGTCATTTTCAAATAAAGAACAAAAAGTAATTGTCTGTGAGACTTATCAAAGCCACATTTGTTCCCTCTTCCCACACGCTTAGCCCTTTGCGAATCGTATTTTGAGAGGCAGCATCTGAGGTGTCTCATAAGAAGTAACATGCCCATTCCTTTCTGTTGCATCCCAGAACTGAGGGTGCCCGTGACAAACATCTGGAAAGGATTTATTGTTTCTGCAGCAGTGTGTGTTAGTGCATGGCAGATAGCAACAGTGAAACATGTGAAATGATGTCATATCATCTCCTTATTTTGGAATGGTGCAAAGCAGGTTTCAAACCAAAAGGAATTTTCCTTTCTTTGCATTCGCTTTAATAAGAAAGTTTTTTCCAAGAAAAACTCCAAGCTTCTAGTTCTGAAAATAAAAGCTTCCAGTGTTCCAATGGGATATGGACTGAAATCTCAACTGAATGGAATTACGTTTTTTTTTACTAATGCCAGCTTGTTCTTGTGCACAATGTTAAAGAAAGCTGTTGCTATTCAGTAATAAATATACGTTCCTGAAATACACTGGGGTAGCTTTCTATATATATGCCTGGGTTTTTTAACACAGAAGTTGTTTTCTCTGTTCTTTTAATTTCTTTTTCTTTATGTCCAGCACTTGGAGATCTGCTTTATTGAATACTAATGTTTCCAGTTTTGAAAGATGTTCTCACTGCAGGACATCTCGACTGTCAATTATGGGATTATATAAGTGAGGCGTGCAGAAGGAATTACCAGACTATTGAAAATTCATTTTATCAAGGTTTATTATTTATGCTGAGAATGAGAAGAAATAAGTTTTAAACTCCTACATGAAAAAGCATATGGAGTTGGCAAAATGCTATCAGGTAGCTAACCTCCTAAAGGCTTTCGATTATACTTATAGGTTTAAATTATGAAATTTAGCAAAAAGACCCCATGAATTTGATCATCAAGGTCGAGTGATGAGATCTTGGCCCTATTACTCAGCTCTTATAATGATTTACTGAAAATCATATCGAGTTATGCAGTTGATACCAGGTGAGGATTAAAGGTTTTTTTCTTTCCCTTTTTACCTCAGCATATCCAATCGAAATTGCTTTCAGTTGATAGAGTGTTTTGGAAGGCTACTGTGTGCAGTCCTGTTCCTGTGAAAGCAGATTTTAATGCAAAGCCATAACCTTTTAGAATTCTCTAAGAGAGGATATTGTGTCGTGATGCATCTATCTTGTGGTATTACCTGGTGACTTGAAGTGTAATCCATGTGTAAAATAAAGCCAGTATAATGAAATATTTAAAGGGTCCCTTAATATTTTGCTCTCAGTAATAAAACTGTATTATTTTTCCCCCCTCAGAACAAAAGCCTCAAAACCAAGCTATTGTCAGGAAATAAGCTTTGTGGTATTCACGCCGAAGAGGTAAGTAAGGTTCCTCTGTTCGACATCTGACATAACCAACAGATGCTCATTTTGTAGTGAGATTATATGTGTACAGTGAGTGCTTCTAAGGTGCTCTCAGATAACTTCTGTGAGTTTGCTAAAAGAAACTCAAATGTATTAGCAAGCGAGCTGCAAACTCAAGTGTTCAACAAATAAAATGTTTGGGCGTTCTCATGAAAAGTATGTATGCAGCTCTGTAGATGTATATTATGTATCTGTAACATATATAAAACTGATTTCCTCACCATGATGTCCGTGCCTAGACTAAGACAGGAATGGCTAAATGCCTTTTTTAAAATTAACTTACAGAAAGAGGAAAGATTTATTATTATTGATTCCTAGAATGTTTCATTACTTCAAGGGGAAAAAAAGTCACTTTATGAAACAGAGGAAAAGAGTGAGGTAGCAAAGATTGTCAATACAAAAGACTCATTTTTTTGCAAATAGGTAGATGTAAAACTAACTGCATTAATTGTGAGCAGTCCCTGTAAATTTTTATTAAAGAGGATGTTACTATAAATGAATCCAGTTTACTCATTTGAATTACTTTAGTCATGGTTTATTGCATATATAATTTCTGTGAAAGTGCTTGTACCTTGCCAGAATGAAACAGAAGCATAACACTTGTCTTCGTGACTAATTATGGTTGAATGCGTTTTCTTTATTAAAGACTCTGCCTTTTAACTTAGAGGTCAAAACTTTAGACGTCAAAGTAGAGATTTTTCATTTTATTAGCTATTTAGCTTAACGGAAGATCTGCAATCAGTTACTGAGAAATCCTCACTTGGTAGGAAGTAATAGGAGTTTGGGATATTTTTTTCCCTAACTTATCAAAATCTGTGCTATCTTCCTGTATCACCATTGTTGCTTTCAAACAGGCCACAGCATATGAGCACAAATATATTTTCTTCCCTCATTTGCTACTTATTAAATTGGCAGTGTGTGCAACAGTTTTCTGTTTTCCCCTCTTTTTCAATTTTGTTTTTCCTAGCTGCATGACATCTTGAATTTTTGGTGATTAACTTAAAGATCTTTTCCCCGATTATGTCTCCTGTAATATTTGCAACATGAACGTCTTTAAGAGTGAAGCCTAAGATTAAATTAAATTTATTGTTCCGTGAGAAGCCTGAATTTCAGAAAACTAAACCTAAGCTAACAAACACGCAAACCTTAAGAATGTCAGGCTATATGAATCATCCTGGCAAATCTGCTGCTTTTAAGTGGGTTAGTGTCATTAGAACAAACAAAGATGCTACAGGAGCATCCTTTTAGTTGTTGTTTTGCCAGTTAGGTGGTGTCAGCCAGAGAAACGCAGTGTATTCTCTCTTCTTTAATTAAGTACTATACTCAGCAAGCATAGCAACTCTATGAAATTAGTATCCTTTTAGTTATTACATCAAATACACTTTATGGGTAGAATTGCCTACTGGGAAATTAACAGCAGATATAGTTTCAAAAGAAAGAAGTGAACTAAACTGGTCATTGTTCCAGAGTTTACAGGATGCAATAACTAATTTGGCCTTACTTCTTACATATTTAAAGCAAGTTCTGAAAACGTATCTTTAGATTCATTCATCATTCCTCAAAGTCTGTCACCGAATTTAGCTGCACCAGTTCGAAAGACATCCAATCTTCCAAAACCCTCCAATTTATGAAAGATATGCTGCCCTCTGTTATATGTTATGCTTATGGATGTGCTGTTTCAGTAAATGTAGAATAGGCTTCTAATCAGTTTTAAGGAGTTCGGAATATTTGGCATTAACTAATGTGAGAAAACTTATTGAGTATCAGTTGAGACTGTGGATTTTATCAAAAAGAACCTCTTGTTTTGGCCAGATTGTTAGATAAAGGGTGGGTAGTTGTGTATAGTATAAAAAAACCAAAACAAACCACGTTTATATTTTGTTAAATCAATAAAAGAAAGTATAGGCGTTACTTAAAATTATTTTAGGGTTAAATTTAAAAATTCTTAAAATAAAAATTATCCTCAGCTGATATAAATTAGCATAATTAGGCCTATTTTAGAGGACCTGATCACAAACTGAGAGCCTAGTTCATTTGGATACCACCTGGAACTCCCTGGTCATTACAAAGAACCTGTGCAGTAGTATTCACCTCTAAGAAAAAGAAAGTTTTTTACTTTGAAGGTGGTGCCTTCAGTTATGTGTCATGGAAACTATTAAAAACATGTCTAAAATGTGTAAGCCCAGTGGCTATTCACAGTAGTATGAACTCATGTATCTGCTTTAGGTGAGTGCTATTTTACATTTTCCTTGAAAATTGTACCTAGTTTGGATATGCTAGCCTGGAAAAGCAATTGGCGTTAAGTTTGGTTATTTTTCTACATTTTAAAGCTGGTCTAGTTTCTGCTGTTGTCAGACCTTGCCACCTTTTTTTAAGTGATCTTAAAAGCAAATATTTACAATTAAAAAAAAGCCCTGATTTTCCTATCCTCACTTTCAGTCCAAAAAAATCCAAGCCCAGCTGAAAGAGCTTCGTTATGGGAAAAAGGATTTGATTTTTAAGGTAAGTTTTATTTCACTATGGCTAGAGAAAGTATTAGGAGTTAATATAGTATTGAAGTGATCTAAGAATATGATAGCTACCTTTACCACTGTAGTTTTAAGGAATCATTTTCCTCCTCACCATACTGAAAAGAGCTCAGAGCACCGGAGACTGACATAATACCATAATACAGTTTCAAAAATATCATTTATTTTGGTTTCTTTTTGTGCAAACCGCCCTAACAGGGGCCATGTTTTTCACTAAATTGTTTTCTAGGGCAACAGAGAGAAGATTCAAAGCTTAAAAAGCTGTCTGATGTCTTTGATTTTAAATAGACAAAAGCAGTGGCAAGTATTTATTTTATGAACGTCTGTACTTACGTG